ACACCTTTTTGCAACTGACCAATTTTGTGGTCTGTTTACAGCTAACTATGTCATCCTAGTAGATCTCTCATGGTGTAATACTTCTTAGAATCATTTATAGGAGCTATACTAAGGTTCTTTAGGAGAGAGTTGATTAATACCTGCCCTTTACATTTCCAGGGCAAACACATTTTTTTCCTTGCCCACTACCCCTGATGCTAGGACTTTTACTCAAGTATGTGTATGTATACGGGCACTTGGTTTTGCCAGCAGGTTCTCCCAGAGACACTCTCGACACATGTAGGAGTAGAATAGCCCTGTGTTCAGGAGAGAGATTCCAGGCCTTCAGCATTTTATAACAAAATGTCCCTGAAATGTTGAATGTTTTTTTGGTCATTATAGATTATATTTCAGGTACATGCTTGAGAACTCAATTAGACTGTTTTATGTTTCCTTTCAAAAAGTGTGATTGAAGTGATTAGTAGTTGTAGTTATTTCAGTGTCTCACTGACCCGTCACTGTCTGAGTTATCTCACTTGTCAGTCAGTGGTGTTTCCCAGGTATGGGGGGAACCCTTGCAATGGTGTTCAAGGTGATTTGTAAAAGAACACAAATTTTGGGGGGATAGAACATAAGAATAGTTTTTATTTGACCAGTTTGAGAAAAAAATAAGACATAAGATGACTGGTGATTCATACCAGAGGAAGTTAAACTTAAAAGTTGATTTAAAGGCAGTTTTAAAGAAAAACATTTTGATATATATGCAAGTATTAAAAGAGATGACTAACATAGCAAGGATAGTATATAAAAGGCAGAAACTTTTAAAACATTGGTGTCATTCAAATCAAAGATGTGAGTGCCCTGACACTCAGGTTTGAGTTGGTTAGCTTTTACTTCACTGAAATGATGCAAGTTTATTTCATCTGAAAGATTTCTGAAGATGTATTAGTCTTCATCACCACTTAACCCTTGCTATCTCCTATGCTTGTTACAGCATCTAATCACTAGAGTAAATTGGTGTCATCTCTGAATGCACGGAGCTCAAACAGTAACAAGATAATGCATCACATTTGGACAGCAATTTTTATAATGTCCATATTTGTCCTCATTACTGGACCTGATATTTATTTTAAAGGGCTAACAAAAAACAGTTGTTTCTGCTATTGAGTAAAGTGATAACCTTTTAAGAAGCCTCTGAGTGACTTTTATAGAAAATATAAAAGCTAACACTGAGAAAAATACTGAAATAGAAAATACTGAGATTCTTGTAGGGCCTCATTCAGTCCCAGACAAAAAAGGGCCTGGAAGGTGAAGTGGGCACCAGGGTCACCACGTGGGAGACGGAGATGAGCCCTCCCTGTCCTTTAACTGCAGGGACAGGAGGAAGCGGCCTAGTGTAAAGCACTAGAGCAGAGGATTTTTGTCTATCCCCCACATCTGTTCACTCTTAAATTGCTTTTCTTTTATTCTCCACCCCTTTATATGTGTATGGGCAAGGAAACATGTAGGCAAACAACTGAGTTTTTAAAAACAGTTTTAAAGAAGCTGAAGCTTTGGTTTCCCTGTCCTATTTCTCCTTCTATAGTATTTTCATTTCCTCATTCCCATTCATAGCCTCATTTCCATTTCTATAATATCATCTGAAAGAATCTTATTAAACCTGCTTCCTTGCCCCAGGCTCCTTCTAGAATTGCTCTTTAAGGTCTTTTTAAGTTCTACAACCTGCTTTTTGTCAATAACTGATGAATTGTTCTCCTTGATGAGATTTTTCAGTGCATAGCGTGTTACTGCTTTATAAAAATTCCTTAGTTTTTAATTCTATGTAATTACTAGTATTAGGGAATTGCTGAAAATATGAAATGTATCATCTGTATCTGCTTAGATCTGTGACTATCACATTATCTGTGTTTTTAAAAGACCCCCCTTTCTCTCCCATCCATTACTGGCTAGTGTTGCCTTTCAGGCTCATGTCTTCATCTGCCTTGAGACCCTCATTTTCCTACCCCTTATACCTACTTTTCTTGTTTTCAGTCACTCAAAGAGCTGCAGCCTCCCAGGCCATCATCCTTTTGACACTCATTATCTAAGGCTCTGTACATCTGCATTCTCACTGCCTGTCCTCCGAGTCCTTTCCACTTTGCCCTCTAGAAGCTAGTGAACTGTCAATATCAGAGGCCCCCATATCCTCAGCCTCTTCTCTTAACTTTTCCTTCCCTGGCCACCTTTTCCTTTTTGCTATTAACAAAACCTGGTTTTCTCCTGATCACACTGCTTCTCCCCCAAGACATCAAGTGTGACCTTTTTTTTCTCTTAATACCTCCTGTAACATTGGACCAAGAAATGGGATAGGTTATCTACCATACTCTTCTTTGCCCCTTCCAGAGATTCTCCTTTCCACTTCCACAAAAACCACCAGTTCTGAATCTCATGCCATAAGACTAGACTACTAACCTACTAATCCTCCTCTTTATAATCATCTACAAGCACCCAAGTCTTTCTTCGAAGGCCTTTCCTTAAAGGATACCTGTCACTCTTCAGGAGCTCTCCTGTCAGATTCTTAGCGATGTCAGTACCTGCGTGGATAGCCCTTTCTGTCCGCTGAACTCCCCTTCCACCTTGTCACAGCTTCTCACTTACATAGTCAGACCTGTCTGTCCCTACCAACTGCCATCCCTTCAAATTCCGTTTCAGGCATCTAACTGACCGCCTTGTCTTCCCAGCTCTCTCCCTCTGTACCCGAGCTCCACCAGACCTCCAGTCTGTTGTTTTTCCCACCTTTTCCCTGTCACCATCCCAACATCCTCCCTTTCCCCCTCACCAGCTTAGTTCCACAGCCCATTAGTGTACTTGTCCTCTTAAAGGCACTCAACTCCCTGGCCACTCTTTCCTCACACCAGCCAAATCTGCTTAAGTCTAGCTCTCCACCTGCTCTGAACCTTTTCCTCCACAGCTCTGCATGGCTGGAGAAAAACAGACAAACGTGTTAATGGGGCTTGCTTTAAATTCATGACTGCTTAAACTCAACTGGACCCTTGAGTTTTGCTAACCAACCTGCTACATTTCCTACTGCTACATTCTCCCACTTTCCTAATAAATTTAAGATTTCATCAATTTTTAAAATAACGTAGTTCTAAAAAAAAATCACTGCCAGTTACACCATGCATTGATTGTAAGACTTCCCCAGTTTCAGAGATGTTAAAATGGGGGTGGGGGGGAAATAGGCTCTGAATGGATGAAATACGGAAAGTCATACCTTCAACTCTCTTACCTCAACAAACTTCCCTGTCTTCACTTCCAGCTGATTAGCTTGCTTGCTGTTTCACTGAGAAAATAAAAGCAGTCAGAAGAGACCATCCACAAGTCTTTATCACATGGATCTGCGCCCATATCCTCTAACCTTTTCCTCCTACTCTGGGTGAACTGTCCATTCTCCTGTCAGAAGCCAGCTTCCCTACTTGGGAACGGGATCCCATCCCCTCTTGCCTCAGACACCTTTTCAGCACTTTGACTCTCTAGCCCCATCAATTTTTCTTTCTCTACTAGTTCATTCTCATCAGCATGACAGACATGCTGTAATTTCCCCATTAAGGGCAAAAAATCTTGAATCTAGCACCCCCTTCCAGCTCCCACTCTATTTTCCTGCTCTTTGTAGCAACATTTCTTAGAAGACTTGTCTATATTCACTTTCTCTAATTTCTCTCCTTCATAGAAGATTAACCCACTCCAGTCGAGCTTTCTCTCCCAAGACTTCACCAAAACTGTTCTTCAAGTAACTTTTTGAATCCAGTAGTTAATTCTCAGTCCTCATCTTAACTCTACCTGGTAATAGCATTTTATACAGTTGGTCACTTCCTCTTCCTGAATATCCTTTGTTCACTTAGCTTCCAAGACTTTTCAGGTTTTCTTCCTGTCTCTCATCACTTGTTTTTTAGTCTGCTTTGCTATTACATCCTTTTCTTCGTAACCATTTGATGGGGTGTCCAAGGCTTGGTTCTTGGACTTCTCTGTAGCCATGCTTACTTCCTTGTCATGGTTTTAACTACCATCTACACATTGATGAAGTACATGTACTATTCCATGTGGACTTCACTGCTGAAATCCAGAATTGTATGTGCCGCATCCTACTCAACTTCTTCATTGGTGCCAGTAGGGGCCTCAAATGTAACATGCCTAAAACCAAATTCTTGATCTTACCAGCAAACCTGTTCTTCCCACATTCATCCTCATCTCAAAAGGCAGCTCCATCCTTCCGTTTGCCTCAAATCAGAAACCTTGGAGTCTCCTTAATTCTTCTCTTTCAAAGCACAAGTCTCAGCAAAGTATATGGACTTTACATTCAACATATCTAGAATTCAACCACTAACCATCATCTTGACTATTGCCACCTAGGTCTGAACCATTACCCTCTCACCTGGATTACCACAGTCACCTTTTATTTATTTATTTGTTTGTTATTTTGGTATCATTAATCTACAATTATATGAAGAACATTATGTTTACTAGGCTCCCCCCTTCATAGTCACCTTTTAATTGGTTTCCCTGTTTCTACCTTTGCGTCCACTCCCCACCCCTCCAGTCTTTCTCAGCCCTTTTCAGTGTGGTCCTTACATTTAAAAGTTTAAGTTTTAACTTGCTTTGTAAGTTAATTTTACCTGTCAAGGTAGTGAAAGTTTGTTGGCTTCTTAAATATAATGGTCATGGACAAGTAAGGAAATTCATTTTTAAAAATCAGTTAAGGGAGCTATGTTTCTAGGCCCTGTTAACTACAAAGCTCTGACCATTACTTTTTCACTTGTCAGTGACAAATTACTCCTAACATCTTACCATTGGCTTTTTTCTCTTAATCTTCCACTAACTTCTAAATTGAAGCTATGTCTACAAATCATTAATACTTGAGGCAGAAAGGGAGAGAGGAATTGAGTAACAGTGTAGAACTTTCTAAAATTCTGCATACTCAATTCTAATCACTCAGGTATAATTTGACACAGAGTCATCTCATCATCATGTGTTTCTCTCTGCAGCGACCCTGCCATGAAGCAGTTTCTGCTGCACTTGGATGAGTCAAATGCCCTGGGGAAGAAGTTCATCATCCAAGACATCGATGACACTCATGTCTTCGTAATAGCCGAGTTGGTTAATGTCCTCCAGGAGCGAGTAGGTGAATTAATGGACCAGAATGCTTTCTCTCTCACCCAAAAGTGAGAATATTAGATAATGACCTCTTAGGAATCATAAATAACAAACATGAGAAAATATCACCATTCAATATCCTATGTGACTGATGAGAGAATTGCTAAGGAGCATGCTAAAGGAAAAACTGATGTCATTTGTTCAGAAAAAAGCCCCTGCACTGATTTTCTTGTTCCTCTTTTTTCAGTACATGTACCCTAGAATTTTTAAAAAAAGCTCTAACCGTTGGCTGTAGTTTGGCTTTCACTATCCTTTATTAAAATATAAATGTAAGTGGTTTTCTTATTTAATACAGTAAGAATGTAATAGAATATGCTTTTAAATTGTTCAATGCCTCTAACCTAGGTATTTATTTTGCTTGTTCCTGTTAATAATTGTGCTTGTAATGTGGGTGTGGTTTGTTTTGTTTCTATTAGAAACTTCACAGATTTACTGTCCCGGAAACTATGCCAAGGTTGGAGCTTTGGTAACATTTATATCTTGCAAATGATATACATGCCAGCCAGCTCCACTGGTGAAGAAGATGGGGAAGAGAACTATCTAACATTAATGTGAACTACAGTTTACATTTCTCTAAAAGTACAACTTCTTCAAAAGTGCAAAGGGTTAGAAACAACCAGTTGGGAAGGTACATGCTGCTTTGCAGCCTTACATTTTCATGTTCACACTTTGTTGTCACCATTGTCCCTCCAGGACAAGTGTTCTTTTGTTAGGAAATCAGTTTCACTTGTGCCTAATTCCCTGTGAGAATCCCTGTTTAAATTTAGCTAAAAAAGGAAAGACAGGACCAATAGATAGAACAGATAGAAACAACAAAGTCAGTCTGGCAGGAAGTGATATGATTAGGCTAAAATATATCGCCTATAGCTCTGTGACTGATTGGAGGCAGAAACAGTAACACCAGTAAGGGCTTTGCTTCCCTTTCTGAAGCTGGTGTTGCCAGGATGGGTTCTCCTGATGAAAATTTTGCCAAAGAGACAACTGTCATGATGTTACGTGGAATTGTATCAAATCCAGGTTACTTGGCTTCTTACAGTTTTTTTTTTTTTTGCAATTTTTTTTTAAGGTATTACTGATGTAAACTCTTATGAAAGTTTCACGTGAAAAACAATGTAGTTACTACATTCACCCATATTATTGTGTCGTTCACACCCCCATACCCCATTGCAGTCACTGTTTCTATGGTATATTTATTCACAGCACCCAGGTACCATTTCACTCACTTATACATGCATTGTTAAAGCTGGAAATTTCCAAAATTAGGTGCATATATTTACCTTGATTCCCACCATATAAGTCAGTCCACACAATTTTGGTTACCATATAACAATACAAATAATTGTTACTGATACCTACAGTACTCAATTTGTTGAATAGGAAAATAACATTTCCTTAGAATTTGCAGCCATGCTGAAGTGTTACTAAATCTTGTATTTCAGTCATCCCCCAGTAAGGTTTTTGGGTGTGTATAATACTGCTAAATCAAGAAGAGAAGTTGAGTTTCTCATTCAGAAAAACAGCAGACAGGACTGTGAGATAGGGGTAAACAAAATTCATTTAGTGCCATGAAAAATTCACAGAAATCTTGATGAACTTCTCATAGGACATGGAATGGAGGAGCTATTTGGTCTTATGAAACACATTAAACTATGTGGTATTTGCAGCTACAATTTACAATTCATCTTGCAAGTGTTAGTGGGAGCTACCTTATTTAAAAGTAAATGTTCTGTGAATGTTTAAACCTTTAACTATGGCTATACTGGGTGACTGGTTCAAAAGCTTCTCTGGAAAATTTCCAGAATAAACTATTTTTGTCATGATTTAAGCAGATATGCTGTTGAGGACTGCCTCTGTGCTGGGCCTTCTCAAACTTCAGTGTGCCATCTGGCAATCTTGTTAAAATGCAAATTCTCCTTGAGCAGATCTGGGCTGAGGCCTGACATTCTGCATTTCTAGCAGGCTCCCAAGTGATGTCTGCACTGCTGTTTGGCAGGTTGCACTTTGAACACCAAAGCTAGCATAATAATTGAGGGCCCAGAACTGGCTGGGGAGAAACCTCAGTCCTTAGCAATTTCTCCTAAACTATTTTATTGTTTATTTTATTTTATAATCTTGTGGACATTGCTAAGGAACTAATTAGTTGACTGCTCCTAGGAACTATATAGGTCCTAGAAAATGCATTTCAGTGTGTTAATTTAGCCATGGGCTTTTAATTTCATATCTTGCCTTTTCCTTCATTCCAAATTCCTCATTATGTTTATTCTTTGTGTGAAAACATCTAACCACACATAAATTGAGTCACATAACATCTGTACCACTCAGTATGAACATTTGTATTTGTTTCTGATTATTTTTTTGAAATGAAACAATTTTTAGAATTAAGTTACCTTTGTGTTCTTCCTTGCCCACAGACCTTTTTTTTTTAACTCTACTGATCCAAGTATTACCGTGACGTTGATGTATCATCATCCACATTTTTTTATTTATGTTAGTACATATCCATAAAAGATACATAGTATTGTGTGTTTTTAAATATAAATGATACATAAGTGGTATCTTTATGTAAACTATCATTCTATAATTCTTTTCACGCTATTTTTGAGATCTATCCATGTTACACATGTAGTTCATTCATTATAGCTTTTATTTACTTTGAATGTACATGTCTATTCCTTTTTGACATTTAAGTGGTTTGCAATTGTTAGGAACAGTACTGCGGCAAACACCTTTATCTAAATCTGCACTGGTACAGGTGTTCCTCTCAGTTATTTCCCAGAAATGGAGTTACTGGATCACAGGTCAGGCACATTTTCAACTTCAAGAAATCTTGTCAGATTATTCTCCAAAATAGTTGAATCAGTTAACAACACACCAGCAATGTGTGTTCCTATTTCTCCACATCCTTACCATTAGATTATTTTTACTAATATGAATTTAAAGTGGAATATAATCCCAACTGTTTTTTATCTTCTTATGTTTATTATTGAAAGCTGTTTCAGTCTTGTATATATATTACAGAGGTAATATATGCCCTATTTAATGGGAACTTAGAGTATTTCAGCTTGATTATTATTTTTATGGGGTGGCCTTTACCCTAGCCATTATTCTAACACTAAAACCTATGGGAAAATATAGTTTATAATAACTGATTTGCAAATGAGCTATTATACAAACATTTTTGTATTCATAAACTGGAGACTTCCTACAATAAGCTAGTTTCCCCCTCTCCTCAGTCTAAATTTTACTAAAAATAGCAAACCATTTTGTGCTGTTTGTAAATAAGCATGGCTTAAGAGGTTTATCTCCCAAAGTTATCAGTAAGATGCTAAAGGTAGAAACTTGCAAGCTGAATTTAGGGAACTTTTTAATTGAAGTGTAAATACACACAGAAAAGTGCACACCATCTTGTCACTACCCACCCATGGGTGAACACTGTCCTGACTTAAAACAGCATAGGTCAGTTCTGCATATTTTTTAACTTTATAACAGTGGAGTCATGCAGCATGTACTCTTGTGTCTAGTGTCTGTTACTTAGCATTGTATTTGTGAGATTCATCCATGCTGTTGCATGACATAACAGCATTTTAATTCTCACTGCTGTGTGGTAGGTATTCCATTGTTTGCCTCAACCACACCAGAGATATTTTGGGTTATGAGTAAATCCTAAAAATTAGTAAGTAACTGTAATATATTAAATCTCAGTTGGTACTTGGTAAACATATATCAAAAATTTTTACCACTATCAAGCAGTTACACCAAATTTTTTCTCCAGTGGCAGAATGTATACTGTATTCGAAAGAAGAGATGGAAGTACAGAATCTAGTTACAAAATACACTGGCACTATTTTTATTGGTATTTTATGGTTATCTTAATGGCTTCTTCAATTCATTCAGCTCTTCATTTATTAATTCAAAAAGTAAGGAGTGCCTGTGGTATCCTGGATGTGGAGGATAGATACAGTTGGAAAAAAGTTGGGCAAGGCACCTAGATCAGAAATGCTTTTGACTTCAAATAACAGAACATCAACTATGAGTGACTTAAGCAGTAAAGTTTAATTGTCCTACAAGTCTGGAGGTGCAGATCGTTCCAGGAGGTGCAACCCTCTTCTGCTCTGCTATCCTAATAATGTTGACTTTTCATCCCGGGCTTATTACCTCATGGTCACAATGAGGTGGCTGCCACTCCAAGGATCACATGCTCATAGCAGCAGCCTAAACAAGGAGAATGGAGGGGTCCGCTTGCTAGCAGAGAAAATAAGGAAAACTTTGTCCTGATAAAACTTTTTATCAAGGGAAAAAAATCTTCCCTGGAATCTTCACACGTTCCCATCCCTAGACCACTTACTGGTAAAGAGGTATGGAGTGATCATTATTATCATCTTAGATCAGTGATTATCAACTGTTAAAGACACTGGGGGTCTTTCTTACAGAAGAATTCCAAATAATTAATGTAGATACTGTCCAGTTCATGTAGAGCTTAGTCCTCTGCCATGAGTGTGGGCTGCATTTAGTGACTTACTTCCAAAGAATAAATTTGGACAGGGTGAAAAAGTAACTATATATTGGAGAAACCTGGAAAATACTGCCTTAGCTGCTCATCAGGATTAACATTACAAGTCATGTTGAGATCATGTACCCCTAAAAAGATGTGGGAAGTGTTCCTCACCACTGTGGCTTTCTTCCTAAAAAACTATAATAACCCCAGTCTTAACATGAGAAAAGCATCAGACAAAAATTGAAGGTATTTTCCTCAAAATTGTCAGTAATGAATAGGCAAGACTGAAAATTTTACAGACCAGAAGAGATTAAGGAGACATGACAACTAAATGTGAAGCAGTCTTCCAGAGATCTGGAAACAGGAAAGGGACATTAGGTAAAAATTAAGAAAATCTGTATAATGTGCAGTTCATTTAATGGACCAGCCTTGGTTTTTCAGTTGTGACAAACGTGCCATGCTAATGTAGGAGCAGAAGGTGGTGACCACAGTTGAGGGGCAGGTGTAGTGGACATTTAGAGGAACCAAGATTGGCAAAAACCTTGAAGCTGTGTCGTTGGTGTTTGAGTTTTCTACCTGTTTTTGTATATCCTTGAAGATCTACATTGTAAGTTTTTAAATCTGAATATTCTGGTACATAATATGCCTACAGTTTGAGTAAGTAATAAAGTGTAGCATAGAAGTATGGTTATTAGTACCAAGAAATCTCTGTTTTAGTCTCAGTTTTGCTATGTAATAGTGATTTGAAGCAAATCACTAAACTTTTCTAAATCTTGATTTCTTTATCTGTAAAATGCAGTTAATAACATGATAATACCTCATGAGGTCATTTTAAGGATTGAATAAGCAAATAGTGTACTTCGTTACAGAATATAGCACATAAGCACTGACCAATTTGAAAATTTCCTCACCACCATATAAATTTAGTATCTTGTTCTAATTAACAGAAATACACTTTAGTTAGATTAAGCAAAAGAGAAATTTGTTATCAAGGTGTGTCACATAAAACCCAAGGAGGAGGATGCAGCTGAACTTCACATATAAGCTAAACCCAGAGACCTTCCTGCCTCTGCAAGCACATCTTCATTCTTCCAGCCAAGAACCAGCTTTCTTTGTGGTTCAGCGTTTGGATTCAAGAGGGAATTTGGTTGTTGCCGGCTGTAAGGTTCCTATCTGTCCATTCAAGATTCCTGCTGGACTAAGGTCTCTTGGTCCTAATACCTGATTTCCTAGGAAGGGCCCATTGGCCAGCCTACTGTGGCCCAAAAAAGAGAGTTACATTGTTCAAGCATAACTGAAGTAACCATGTAAATGGACATGGGCAGCCAACAGAAAAGGGGAAAAAAACAGTTAAATACAATCAGCTTTGAAAAGTAGTATGTTCTTCAAATTATATAAAAAAAAAAAAAATTTTGTGGCCGAGAAGCTCGTGTCTGGCAAAGGAGCATTTGCTGGCACCAGCATTTGTGGTTGTATCCTAGTAACTAAAGTGCTTAAACTTCATTAAAATGCCAACTGTTAACAGGTATGTAATCTATTAGTATCTAAAAATGCATTTTTTCTTTTAAGCGTTTAACCGATACTTAATTGTACACCTCCTAAATGCCAGACAATGCATAACAGGCTCAGGATATATACGACAAGACAGGTTTGATCCTCAACACAAAGCAGAATTCAGTTACTTGCATGTGCCTGTGCCAAAGTGCAAACATTCCCAAAACTTTCTTCTAAGCCTTTGAGAAAAACTGATGTTCCAGGGAAGATGCGCTGTGTGCATCCTGGGATTCCCAGCTCCTGTTCACAGGGTACTTCCCAGGAGTGTATGTACCCTAATTTCAGAAGCATGCAGTCAGATTAAGTAGATAAAAAATAAAATGAAGGCCTTCATACTGCTGTATATCCCTTCAGATGTTCCTTGGGAACATTCACTTTATTCTGATCCTGTTTTCATCAGGCAGCCCTCTGACTTAGGATTTGGTCCCCAGAAGAGAACTGGTTGTCCTCTTGTTCAGCTTTATGCTAGAACCATAGAAGACCTGCTTGGGTGCTGTGGGTACGTAAAAAGAAAATTTGTAATCTTTAAATTTTGGAGATTTTTGTCTATAAATAGATTGAGAAATATCTAATTTATGGAGAAAGTTAAGTAGTACAGCCTCATCCTTTTTGAATGTAAAATAATCCCCAAGTGAAATGGATTAGCTTTTCATACCCTGTTTTATTCCTTTTACGATAGCTGATATTATTCACCCTCAGTTTTGTGGCCGAGAAGCTCGTGTCTGGCAAAGGAGCATTTGCTGGCACCAGCATTTGTGGTGGTATCCTAGTAGCTAAAGTGCTTAAACTTCATTAAAATGCCAACTGTTAACAGGTATGTAATCTATTAGTATCTAAAAATACTGACATCACTTTTCTCCATCAAAGGCTCTTTTCCCTTCAGGGTCCGACTACTGGGTTAAGTCTAATACAGATTACCAGAGTGATTAACATTTCACTGAAATGCTTTTGACTCAGACCAGTGAATTTGAATGTATATATCTATGCAAAGAAAATAGCATGGAATTATAAACAAAACCAAAATTCCACCTTGGGGGAGAGTACAGGTTGTTTATTTTTATCTATTTCCTGTAATTAACATGACTAGTGTAATAGAGAAATAGTAAAAGTTAAAATATTTTAATGAAGCAGGGATTGACCATGTGAATAGGTTGTATTATGTATGTGTAACATGTATTTGTCTTCCAACATTTAAATGGAATAAAACTGAATAGTTTACCTTTCAAAGGTAAAAAGTCAGTATGAGTATCATCTTCCTCATCATTATCAAGTATTTGATTCTCATGTTTCTTGACCTGATTTCTTTACGGCATACATACTCTTCCCTCTCCCCCTAAAAGTCAAACCCAAAACAGTTTTTTTTGGTAATTGTATTATAGGCTATGCACAAATACACCAACTGACCTATCAGTTGATATACTGATTAGTGTATAGTTAAGAAACATATATATAATAAATGTCTTGACATACTTCTTCATGCAAGGGTCTAATAAGTATTGAATCTTCAAGTCACAAAAACTTGAATTTAATCTCCAAATTTAATTTAATCCCAAATATTTGGTTAAATTAACTGTCCTTAACAAAGAACACATTCACAAAAAATATTTTAGAGCTTCATATATAATATAACATTTTACAAGTTGTAAGATTTTATGAGGGGTACTTGCTCTTCCTGTCTAACATACTTTGATTTCTAGATCAGTACTGTGAATTCTAAAATGAAAATAAAAGGCTGGTAGAAGCCAGAAGGAGCAGTATTCAGTGATACAGAGGTCCAGCAGAAATAACTGAACACAGCAAGATCAGCAGGTTTAGAGTTCTAATTCTGCTAAAGTGAATAGCCCACATTTTCTAAGTTGAATCCTTGGAAGATTTGAATTAGAGGGGAAAAAGTACAAGGACCAAGTAATGTGGGAAAACACCACCCGTTTGTAGATCTTAATGATTTTTGTTCTTTTAAAACAGATTTGGTCCAGTTGGGTACTTAATAAAGCTCATAAGAAAAAAAAAAGTTGATTATGTTTTGTGATTCTTTATACCACCATTCCAGAATAATACAATGAGGTATTCATTCACATGACAGTTCGATTTGGGAAGAGCAAAAGCAGCTTTACGTATTAACTCAAGTTTTTTTTTTTAATATTAGTACTAACAACAGTCTTGAGGTCCACACATTGCCAGGGTGGGAAACCCCTGTAGGAGGGCTTCCAGATGCACAGGAAGTTAAGCCAGTTGAGGTTATTTTAAAATAATTACACCTTAAGGACAGGGAGTGCCTGGTTGTGTCCTCTCCTGCAGTCCCCAGGCAAGCAGCTCTTCTGAATCCTCAGCACTCCTGAAGCCCCCAGACTCCATGACCTCCATCTGATGAGCTGAATGCTTTCCCTCTTCCCCTCTACCTTCCTCCTTGGGAAGCTGGCAGCCTCAGATTCCCCGCAGGAGAGGACTCTGCCCCAGAAAGCTAAATTTTGGGGGCTGCTACGCTAGTTCTTAGGGTGCCCTGACAGGAGTCTACTGAAGAAGACTTTTCCTCCAGTCGGGGAGTCCCAGATCCTTTCTAGCCTCTGGAAGGCCATAGAGCCCAAACAAACCAGTGGTTGAGTGCATGCACAGTGGCCTCACTGGGAGCTCATTCCAAACTTACTGGGTCAGAATCACATTTTAATCAGTTGCCCAGATTATTCGTAAAGCTGGGAGAGGAAATGCCATGAAGGAGCCACTGGGACGCAGCAGAGGATCTGAGAACTCACTCGGGCCACAGGAGTAGCAGATTAAAGGGTCATAAGCGTCTGTCCAACACTCACTGTGTGTGGCTGTTAAGTCAACCTAGTGCCTTTCAAGCATGTGGCCTGAAACTCTCCCTTCTGATCCCATCGCAATTCTGGGGAGAAACCTGCAAATTAACAAGTGATGTGTTGCTGTGAAGATGCTTTATAGTGTCAGCCAGTGCAGAAAGGAACAAATAACACATTTACCAGGCCAGGCTCATGACTACCCAAGAAAGAGTATCAAAGTTACATTAGTAAAAGATACTACAGAAGAGGATTTGTATTCTGAGGTGTCCCACTTTACAGAGCTTCCCTCTGCAGTGCTTCTGTGTGACTTGGAAAAGGTGGCGGGTGCCTGCCTTTGCAGGTCTGCCTCTGGGTGAAGAAAGAAGAGCCACCTTCTTCCGTAAGACTTCAGCCCCAGCTCACCCCATCAGTAGGATGCCCTCATGTACAGCTGTAAACCATGGCCTGGAAACCACAGAAGAAAACGACAGCATGTGACGGGATGGCAAGGGTACTGACTCCTGCGTACCAGATCTCTCCAGTTCCCTCAGGCTGTGCCAGGTAAGGGAAGCCACTTCACTTGCTAATCTTAGACAAGTGTGACAATCTATCTCATGTTACTGTATCTAGAGTCAGTAGATGCACACTTATTTTTCAATGTTAATTTCCTACTTAAAGGCAATGAATCACAAAGCATAAAAATAAGAAAAACACTAGCCACACCTTACCACCCTAACCCAGCCAAATTAGCAATTTGATGTAGTTCCTACAAATCTCTGGTGTGCCGTCCAGCTCTGTGGACATGCCCTGGCCCACTGAAACATCCCAAGCCAAGCCTTTAGGGAAGATTGACCATATTCTAGAAATGAATCCAAACCAGCCTTTAACCATTCTGTACCTTGACGTAGGCTCTGCCCATCTCATTCCCACTTTGTCCCAAGTGGTGACTTCTCGTTGTTCCTGCTCTTTTAATGTAGTGATATGTAAGTCAACAACGTAAGTTTCTGTCCTGACTTGTGACATCCCTACCCCCACCCAACTCCTGGTTGCCAACTTACTTTCTCCCACTGAGCCCTGAACTTGCTTTCTCCCAAAGCCCATATTCAGGCAGTTGACCTGGGAGAAAGCTCCCACTTGGCTCAATCCAGAACCCAGCTCACTATGAACCCTACTTTCACCAAATGGTGTAGTCCAGAACCATTCCCTCTGCTTTGAACCCAGAACAGGGAATTTGGGTCCTTTTTCCCTTATGCTTGTATTATCTTCCTTGACTGCTGTTTGCCTTGACCCCATGCATTAAATCATTTCCACCTTGGAGTTTCAGAGGTCAACAGTGTTCACAGCAAGTGCCAAACTGTCCTTTCATTTTTACCCTTTCTGCCTTTGTTGCAACCACTGATCCCATTTATAAGATTGTGTTGTGGTTTTTTTAAACTTTTTTTTTTTTTTAGCAATTGTGCCTGATTTCTCTGGTTTCTGACTTTTAACTCCCCTTGAAGGATTCTGGTTTACACTTAAATTGTTAACTCTGCCTGCCGCAGACAATCCCAGCAGCAGACCTAGTCTTAGCAAAGGTCCTGGGGCAACCCTCAGGGAACCATTGTATCGGATGGTGTTATATACATTTCTGTGTTGTCCAATAGTTTCTTTAAAATCACAGATTTTAATGACTGCAGTGTATCTTCATATCATGTCGTAATTTAATTAGCCATTTCCCTATTGCTGGAATTTAGGTGGTTTCTAGTATTTTGAGTTTCTAAATAGTACAGTGATGAATAACTTGTACCAAAATTTTGGACTATTTACTTAAGGAAGATTCCCAGATATAGAGTCATTGGGTTCAAGAATATCAATATTTTTATGGTCCTTGATATGTTTCTAAAGTTTCTTTCCAAAATGACAGTACCAACTGAAAATGCCACCAACAGTGTCTAAGTGTGCTAGTTTCACAGAACACAGACCAGAATATCTTCCTTTCATTCATATCTAAAAAACAGGTTGTATTAGGGACTGATTAGGGCTTGGGTAGATAAAACAAAATCCTTGCTGCCACAGAGCTCAGATTCCAGTGCAGGCAAGAGATGACAACAAGCTAGATAGCATAAACAAAACTATTTATAATATGCTGCGTGAGAGAGGTGGGAACATCTAATTCTTCCTTTGCATTCCCAGTTTGGCTAACTGCTCAACACAAGAGACCACCTTTTGGCCTGTCTCAGCTTTTGTCATGCCTCCCACACTGAGCTTAGTCATTTCTATCTTTTGATTTAAAGTAAGAGACATGAGAGTCATCCTTTCACTTGAACACTTAGAAGCTATGGTTACTATGTGCTACATTTCAATACTGTTGTGTCTCAGAGTATAGGGAGGCCCTTCTTAGAGGGAGAGAGACGGGGAAACAACTGGTCAGTGGAGCAGTCAGAACACAAACATTTATTAAGTTCACATCATAGATCACTGCAGATCACCATAACAAATACAAGTTTAATTTAAAGTTTGAAATTTATGAGAATTACCAAAATGTGACAGAATGTGAGAAAATGCTGTTAGCATATGGTGCCAATAGACTTGCTCAATGTCAGGTTGCCCGCAAACCTTCAATTTGTAAAAAAACACAGTATCTGAAATGAGCAATAAAGCAAAATGCAATAAAACAAGGTACGCCTGTACATGCTTTTCAAGTGCACATGCAACATTCACTACAATAGAGCATATGCTGTCTCCTAAAGCAAGGCTCACTAAATTTTTAAGGATAGAAAAAAAAAGAAAATGTAAATTAAAAATACCAAGAATGAAAAAGGGAATATGGTTATGGATCCTACAGGCATTGAAAGCTTAATAAAGAAAACTGCAAAGAACTTTATACCAATTAGTTTGAAAAAACTTAGATTAAATGTACAAATTCCTTGAAAAATACAATTTATCAAAACCAACACAAGGTAAAATAGGAAGCTGAACATCCCTAAAATTGTATATATTTTTTAAATGGAACATTTAATCAAAAATCTTCCCACAAATAAAACTCCAGGCCCAGTAGAAATTCTATAAAACATTTAAGGAAGAAATAATTCCCATCTTACACAAACTCTCTGAGAAAATAGTAGAGCAGAAAACACTTCTCAACTCATTTTATGAGGTCTACATAACCCTGTCATCAAACCTGGACAAATATTATAAGAACAATTATCAACCAAAATCTCTCATGAGAATAGACACAAAAATCCATACAGAATATTACCCAATAGAACCTAGCAATCTGTGTAATACAGATATCTGTCACTAATTGTATATAGATATAGAAATACAAATATATAAAATAAGGAATATATAATGATAGTATATCATGGCCACTTGACCAAGTTTTACTTCAATGTTAAGAAATCAATGAATGTAACTCATAACTCACTATATTAACAGTACAGGAGAAAAACTATATGACTATCAAATATATGCTGAAAAAGTAGT